GTGTGCTGGATATGATGGTGCATACCTATATTCCCAGCACTCTGGAAATAGAAAGAAGTTAGATCAGAAGTTCAAGGTCATCCTCAGCTCCATAGCAAGTTCAATGCTAACATGGGCTACATGAGATCTTGACTCAAAAAAACAATAATTTAAAAAGAAAACAACTAAAATTTAAAAATAATAGAATGAAAATAAATAAAGGTTTTATTCCAAAGTAATCAAACAAGCTTGACTTGATAGTGCCCATATGTAAAATAACCCCAGGACTCGGGAGATAGAAGCAGGAAGCTGGAAAGTCAAGGCCAGCATGAACTAAGACTGAGCGTACAACGCCAGCCGAGGTTATATAGCAAGATCATGTCTTAAAATAAGTGGATAAAAAATTTTTTTAATTCTAAATGCACTAGCATCTACTTAACTTCTCTAAAAACAAATTGTGCTCTTTCTATCCACTTCTGGCCCAGACAGAGCTACATCATATTAAGCACTAAAATGGTAATTTATTCTACAATGCCACTTCCCTTGACCCCAAAGGTTAATGAACCCACGAGGCCAAATGTAACCTCCCTCTTGCCAATGAGCCAATATCTTTTCAGAAATCTGCTAAGAGCTTACGTACTGAGTAGCTGAGTCTGTGTAGCACCAGTCTTTCTGAACAGGTCCTGGGTTTCTCTACATGGGCTTACCTTTATTGAACCAACGGTACTCAAAGCAGTACAGCGAGTACAGAAGAGACATATGCAGCAGGCTCACCAGCTGACCCACGAGGTGGATGGGGAAGAGACTCACAAACATCCCCTGAGGAGCAAATGCAACAAATCTTAATTCTGGAGTGTCAGACATTCCTCACTTACTACTCCAATCAGAGATGGCTTCCTGATGACTGCCGCAAAAGCTGTTTAGTGGCAGGGTCAGAATCTCCAAAGGGAGAAGAGGTCAATTCATGGTTCTTATCATTTTATTTCAAACTCTCTAGCTGCTTCTGAGGAAAAGCTTTTAGAGTCTCACTCTCCCCTTTCCCCGCCTCCCCTCCAATACCCATGCCTCAGGTAGGTACTATTGTCCTCTCCTTTTTCCTTCCTTAATTTTTTTAGATTTTTAAATTGTATATGTCCGAGTACTCTGCCTGCATGGATGGATATGCACCACTTGTGTGCCTGATGCCCTTAGTCATAAGAGAATGCTACATCAACTGGAAATGGAGTTATGGATGGCTGTGAGTCACCATATGGGTACTAGAAACCAACCACTGAGTCATTTCTTCAGCCTCCATTTTCCTTCTCTTAAATAAGTCGTGTGTGTGTGTGTGTGTGTGTGTGTGTGTGTGTGTGTGTGTGTCCTCTTAAATCTCAATGTGTACCAATTCTTATCTCTACCTAATAAACTTCAATTTAACTTCTTAGGTAGAGGTTCACTGGGTGGAAGAGCTGCTGTGAAAGCAAAAGGACTGAGTTCAAGTCCCCAGCACCCACATAAATGCCAGGCATGGATGGATGTCAGTAACTCCAACACTTGACGGGAGGCAGAGACAGACAAATCCTAGGAGATTGCTGGCCAGTCAGTCACCCTAGCCAAAAATAGTCATCTTCAGGTTCAGTCAGAGATCTCATCTCAAAAACTAAGGTAAAGAGTGTACATACACTCCCCACCTCACACACACACAGTGCTTTAAAAATCATTACTTTCCACAAAGCATATATGCATACTCCAGTATAAAGGCAAAAACCCATCTTTGTGAAGTCCCCTCCCCTAAACTTCTTTTTCCTTTGTTTTTAAAAATGTCTCCACGTGCCTCTCACCTGAATAAGGAAAAGTGCCTGTAGCAAAAGGTTGAAGAGCATGTCAGCAATTATTTTGCTGACGCTGGGGAACGGATGAGGTTTTCTCCCAGATACCTCAAATGCCAGGTCAGCTATATCCTGAAACAGAACAGTAGTACAGCAAAACATGAATTAACGGTCCCGTGTCCATCCCCAGAGCTGACACCATGGTCTGCTACTACAGCTGCCAGGTGAGAAAAGTCTGCCTTAGTAACCTGAGACAGTCATTTCATTTTACAAAGCCAGAGAGATTACCAAACTGGCTGCTTAGCTTAAAATATGTCAAGGCTTGAAAACTGTTTCTCTATGGGCCACTAACTTCATAAGCTAATATATGTGATCTAGTGAACCCATCATGTAGAACCCAGACTCCATTCTGTCTTGGACCTACTTGGAACCAAATGGCATTCACAACTTTGCTAAGCACAAACAGAGGGAGCACCCAAAGAGCACTGAAAATTGATGTGAGGAAGAATTCCAGCCAGGACCAAACATCTCCATGTAGTGATGGATCACCTAAAAAAAAAAAAAAAGTAAAAAGAGTTATTAGTTTATCAGACAGATGGAACACCAGAAATCCAAAAAGGGAACTATTTTGTGACTTTTCCTCTGCCTCCCATTCTGACCACAGCTCTTATTCATAGTAATCAGTTTTGTCCTGCTTATCTTGAAACAACCCTGCTTACAGGCTGACTACTGAGATGTCACAGTGACTAACTGCAGAGCTATCCAGAAACCACCTGAGTTTAAATCTCAGCTCTGCTCCTTACTAATGGCCTACCTTCTATTTACTTATCCATAAAATGGACAGTCCAACAATGCCTACCTCAAAAAGAAGTCTAAATTAAAAACATGGGGGAGGGCATATGCCTTTAATCCCAGCACTCAGGAGGCAGAGGCAGGCGGATCTCTGTAAATCTGAGGGCAGCCTGTCGTACAGAGCGAGTTCCAGGACAGCCAGAGCTGTTACATAGAAAAGCCTAGTCTCAAAAAACATCAAACTGCTGGTATTGTTAGGAAGTGCTTAGGGAACTGAGGAAGACTAGAAACAAACATTTCAAACCTCTATCCCCAAGCCCAGCAAAATACGTACATACTTACCAATAATTCGGGCTGTTACTGACTGAAGCACAGGGATAAACACTCGATAAAACAAGAGGAGACTGAACTGAAGGAAACAAACAATAAAGTAATCAAGACCCTTTTTCAAATTAAAACAAGGTGTCAGGCAGTGGTGGCAGATGCCTTTAATCCTAGCACATGAGAGGCAGAGGGAGGTGGATTAAAGCCAGCCTGATCTACAGAATGATCTGAAGGACAGCAAGGACTACACAAGAGAATCTCAAAAAACCAAAAACATAATAATAGTAGTAATAATAATATAATAAATTAAAACAAAGCATTTCACTGTAATGACTATCCAGTCAAGACTGCTAGTTTACAAATCAGGAGGCCAGAAAAAGTACTTTTCCTACTTGCCAAAACTCCAAGAGAGTGTAGCAAGCTGATACTATGTATACGTGAGATGTCTGAGACAGAGAAAACATTTTAACTAATATTCAGGCCAAAGTATAAAGGTATATACTAAACATCCTGTGATGTTTGTTAGTTAAATCTAAAACTAACATCTGAAAATATTAGTGAAATGTTTACATTAAGACAAACTGAATTACACTGAATATCAAGTCAAGAACAGTATTTACTCGTTCTGGAAACATCCAGATTTCACTAAAGACTATGATAGTTCTCAATTAATTATAGGTAACCTTTTTGATCTGGGTCTCAATAATAATCAATTGCTACAACCAGAAACAAGGAGAATTTTGCTTATCTGGCCACATCTACCCTTCTATAATCCCACAGACAGACAAAATGTCCAGTCAGTGTTAACACAAGTTATTTCTAACAATACTAAAACCTGTCAATGACTCATATAAACAAACATATATTCAGGACTCTCCCAGATATCTCTTTACATATAGGTGTTAACTGTGAATAGGATTAAAATTCACTACAGAATCACATGTTGCCTCTTGTCTTAGAAACAACAGTTCTTCTCTGGTAAGCAAAGTCACTACAGATGCACAAAATCCAAATTCATGTTTGTTGTTTAGGGTTTTCTGTTTGCTGGTTTTTCCAGATAGGGCTTCTCTGTGTAGCCCTGGCTGTCCTGGAACTCATTCTGTAGACCAGGCTGGACTTAAACTCAGAGATCTGCCTGCCTCTGCCTCCTGAGTACTAGGATTAAAGGTGTGTGCAACTACGCCTGACTCGTATTTGTTTTTTTGAGGCAGGGTCTCATGTATCTCAGGCTGATCCAAACTTACTATGTAGTAAAGGATGACCCTGAACTTCTGCTCCTCCTGCTTTTACCACCAAGTGCTGGTATTATAAGTATTGTTGTTTATTTTTTAAAGATTTGTTTTTATTATTTTACATATGTATGTGTCTGGTTGTCTATAAATGCAGCACATGCATACAGGTGCCCATGGAGGCCAGAGAGTGTACAAAATCCCCTGGAACTGTCATTAAAAACAGTCATGAGCTGCCTGGTGTAAGTGCTGGGAACTGAACTCAGGTCCTCTGCAAGAGCGACAACTGCTCTGAAGTACTGGTCCATCTCTCCAATGCACAGGCACCTTTTTAATATTAACTGTCTTTCTTCTTTTTCTTTTCTTCGCTTTTTTTTCTTTCTTTCTTGAGACAGCATCTCACTATATAGTCCCTGGATGGCCTGAAACTCAGTTATGTGCCTGAGATTAGCTAGACCTCACAGAGATCTGCCTGCCTCTGCCTCCCAAGTACGAGGAATATAGGCATGCACTACCACACATGGCAATTATTAATGTTTTTAGCCACCATACAAAATAAAGGGTTTCATTTTGACATTTTCATACATATCATTATTTCTTGCTCAGTACCCCACTCCCCTCCTCCATCCCCATCCATGTGATAATCATCAGCATATATAAGCAGCTCAAACATCAAAGATAATTCATCTTAGTGTTTCAAGGAAGTGGCTGAGAAATATTAATCTAATAACAATCTAAAGATACATATAAGGAACCTAGAATTTGATGGAAAAGAACTTACCCAGAATACTCCACCATTCCAAGCACAACACTGGAAAATCCTACTAACAATGCGTGGCTCACTGGAAAAGATGGTATGAATTTAGCTTATAAGGCGTGCCGGCTGTTTTCTGATGTTATCTAGTAACTCCCCACTTACAGCTCCTCTTGCACCACGTTATCTTTGAGCACCTACTGCTCTCCCAATGTTCTAATTCAGTCATAAGAAAAGGCTGAGAAAAAGCCAGTGAGAAAAGGCTTCCGAGGAACCAGGTGTCTGTTTTTGAGACAGAGCTTCGTCATACAGTCCCGGCTGGTCTCAAACTCTTGGCAATCATCCTGTCATCCTCACAGTGCTGGGATAACAGGCCTGTGCCACCACGCCCAGGTGAAGAACCAGCTTTTCTGTTTTGTTGTTGTTTTGAGACAGAATGTCACTATGCAGCCCTGCCTGGCTTGGAACGCACTGTTTCGCTTCAAACTGCCTGCCTCTGCCTAAGTGCTGGTATTAACCAGTTTTTCCTTAAAAATTAAAAAGGGGCTGACGAGACGGCTTACTGATAAAAGTGTCACACAAGGCAGGCAACCTGAGTTTGGTTCCCTGAACCCATGGAAAAGGTGGACCGAGAGAACTAATTCCACAAAGATGTCCCATGACATGTACACATGTGCTGTGAAATGGACATCCTCCCCCAACGAGAAATCGTTGTTTAAATGCTATTTACTTTTATGTGTGGGTGTTTTGCCTGCGTGTGTGTCTGTGCACCACATGTGTGCAGTGCCCACGCAGACTAGAAGACAGCCTTGGATTCCCTGGAGCCAGAGTTGCAGATAGTTGTTTGCCTCCATGTTGGTGCTGGGAATTGAACCCAGGTCCTCTGGAAGACCAATAAGAACTCTTAACCACTGAGCCACCTCGTCAGCCCCCAAATAAAACAAAACTGTTTTGAGTGTGTATGTAGATGTGTGTTCTTCCCTCTAAAGACTGAGGTTAGAGCACATTAAACAAGAAAGTCTGGGGGTAGGGTTTAGTCTATCAATAAATAAATCCATATAGACGTTCCTACAAATATCCATCAAATCTAATACTGTTTGTGGTCCTCTATTTTGCGCTCTTGATTTTATTTTTGTTGTTGTTGAATTTATCGTTGCATGTGTGAGACGTGGAGGCCCAAGGATAACTCTGTGGAGTTAGTTCTTTCCTTCCAGTCTTTCCATGGGTTCTAAGGACTAAAGCCAGGCCATCAGGCTTGCTTAGCAGACATCTTTTGTCTTTGAGGTAATTCATGAGCATAGATTTTACTTTTTAACATCATGCCATTTTGAGTAAGAATCACAGTTTAAGTCAATGTGTGTGTGTTGGGGGGAATTACCTATAACATTTTTCCTACTAAAAATTAAAAGTAAAAAAACTAATAGGATGCTGAAATTATGACTTACTATGTAGGGCCTTCATTCTATACTAAGTCATTTCCTCAAGTGCCCCTCCGATGACAGCTTGGGATGTGGGCCTGTACTCCTCACCTCTCTTGCTTCCGCTCTACACTCTGGGCTCTCCTCTGGGCCAAGACACTACTTGCCCTTCTTCGACGCTGTTCCTCTCTCTTCTGCTGGATCCGAGCATCTAGCTTTGAGATGGTACAGATGCCCCAGATGGAGTCTTTGATTCCCTGTAGATAAGGACATTCTTAAAGAGAGATCATGGGCTGGAGAAGACTTTCCAAAGTTACACACACAGGAAAGTGAGCAACAGTGGAAACCACAGTGTTTATTTTGCTACAGAACTTAAGGAGATGGTGTGTGCTGTCAGTGCTGTGATGGAGCTCAGGATTTCCTGCACAGTAGGCAGAACTCTGCCACTGAACTGTATCCTCTATGGAGTGTTACTTTAACTAGGTAAAGATGTGTTGCACTTGTTTATGCTGCACTTGTATAACTATGTAAAGATGTGTTTCATTTGTTTCACCTTGCCTGTCTAAGGTACCTGATTGGTCTAATAAAAAGCTGAATGGCCAATAGCTATGCAGTAGGACAGGCAGGGCTGCAGGCAGAGAGAACTGAGTTGTAGGAGGAATGGGGGTGGGCAGAGGGAGGACGAGGGACACACCCAGGACCAGCCAGGCAGTCACCAGCCAGACACAGAGGAAACAGGACATACAGAAGGAAGGAAAAGTAATAAGCTCCAAGGCAAAATGTAGATAAGAGAAACAGGTTAAAATAAGTTATAAGAGCTAATGGGACAAGCCTAAACTAAGGTCACGAATTCATAATTAATATTAAGTCTCTGTGTCTTTATTTGGGAGCTGGTTGGCAGCCCAAAGAAAAATTTCAACTACAATCCTTAATCTACAGATGAACTGCAACAATAGAGATCTTCCAAAATCCTTTAGTCTAGAATCACCAGGTTAGTATTTTTTCTATATTAATATATACCTTTTTTCAAATTATTCAAGTAGGTTGTTGTGAAACAGGGTCTTGCTACATAAGTTAGACTGACTTCAAACTTGAGACTTTGCTTCAGCTCCTGAATGCTGGGAACACAAGTATAGTGGCCGACATGATGAGCTTATCAGGCTCCTGCACAGTCATTTTTCAGGAGGTGTCCTAAGAACAATGCTCTTTACATAACCGTAGGGTAGTTATCAATTCAAGAAACTTAGTACTAAAAGACTTTACAGTCCACATTCCAACTTTTCCATTCACCACAACAATGGACTTCATGACATTTTACCCCTCAAGAGTTTCATCCAGAATCAAATGACGCATGTCATTAGAATGCCTCCTTGGTATTTTCAAATCAACAACAGTTCTTTATACTTTTTCTTTTTCCCATTTTCTTTATTTGTGTGAGTGTGTCGCCATGCATGGTGCTCAGAGCACCACTTGTGAGAGTCAGTTCTCTCCTTCCACTGGCTGGGCCTCTGGGGTCAGCACACTCCTGGTATCAGGCTTGGTAGTAGTACAAGTCTTTACTTCTAAGCCACCTCACCAGCCCCAGTCTTCACCTTTCTTTTTGAAAAATACAGGCCAGCTACTTCATGGAATTTTCTCAGTATAAGTTTCCCCATGATTACCCGGGTTAAGCACTTTGAGTGACAATATCACAGAACTGATGGTATCACACCAAGAAACACATAAGCTAGGCATGGGGGCGCATGTCTCTTTTCCAAAAATTCAAGATTGAGGCAGGAAAAATCCTAACTCCAAGGTCAGCCAGGGATACACAGCCAGCCTGTCCTGTCCAGGGAAATCACAACCACCCTCTCTCCCTAAAACAATGGCACACAGTAACTGTTTGGCCTTTTGGTAATATTAAGTCCATGGTTTCAAACTTTTTCCTCTAGTAACTAGAAAGTCGTTAAGTAGGGAAATACTTCCAATGCCATGCAAATATGCCCATGGATTTCTCCCAAATTTAGTATCCTTCCACGATTCTTGCCTAAACCAATTTTGAATTATATGAGCACTAAATAGTACTTTTCCAACACTTTTACATTTACCAATACTATGAAAACATGTTATCATCTTCTCTACTCCCCTTCAGTACCAATTAAATTGCTGCAGTACTCCTTGAATTCTATATTAGCTCTAAATACCAATCAAGAAAGGACTACATTATTATCAAATTTGGAGAAAGACACAATTACTGTTCTAAAAGGAGAGGAAAAAAAGGAAGGAAGAAGAGGGAGAGGAAGAAATCAATTGCTGCAAAATGTAAACCTCTATAGTAAGAGAGTGCCACGTAAAACAGAAGCATCGTGGTAGTGTGGCTGGAGAATATCCTGAGTAGGTACAAGACGAGAGAGGTGCTGTTGAGTTTGTATAGACAACATGCAGACAGGGAGAAATGCACCTGCCAACCCTATCTGAAGAACTCCGAGTTGTTGCTGGTGCTACAAAGACCAGAATTACCTTCCGGTCATCTAGTTCAAAGACCTGCATTCACTTATCCATCCCTGCACCCAACTGCATATTGTGCAACTTCAATGAACTAATCTTTGGTCAGACGGAAACACCCAAGGAGATAGTGTAATCCCAGCAGGGGAGACAGGGGCAGAATAATTGCCTCAAGTTAGGTCAGCCTGGGCTTACAAGGTAAGACTACCTCAAAATAAAAGCAAGAAAAAGCTGGGGATTCAGCAGAGTGTTTGCCTATCATGTGAGAGACTTTGGGTTCAATCCTCACTACTGCAAGGTAGACAGAAAAATTATAGAAATAAAGCTAAAAATTTAATACACACGCACACTAGAGTTTAATAAAAACCATAACAGATTTACACCCAAAGTAGAATAATTTCACCAGGATAATCAACTTCATAAAAAGACAAAAGAGC